ACTCCATCCTAAAGGATTTCCTTTCTTGTGAAAGGCAGCACAGTAATTCAGTTATTATTCTTTCCAGCCAACAGAAATTTGGAAAGAAATTAGGTAAAGGGGCTCAGCAGGATAACTCTCCAAAAACTGAATGAAACACGACCAAATTTGATATGGTGGGCAGGAGTGGGGAGAGAAGCTGGCAAAAGAAAGAACAAGTTTGGAAATGGGCCAGATCTGGCCAGGGACTACAAAGGAAAAAAATCCAGAAAAAAGAATAATCCTCCAGTGAATTCTTATGGAGGAGACAATTGGACAGTGGCTCAGAACGCTGTGACTCTTGCATCCAAAGCCCCCTCTCTCTTTATTCCTGGTTGGGTGACCCAGAGCAGACCTATTAACTCTTTCTCTAACTTGTTCTTCTACTATGTACTCCTTAGAGATGATCTGGAACCTGGACAAATTTAGTAGCATCTAAATTACTTTGAAAATAAAGTTTTCTTGCAAGATTTCCACAATGAGTTCCAGCCACCTATTAAACAGGACTAACCTTTTTTAATCAGCTTGTTGCTGCTGTGCATTGATGGGGGTGACTATTGACACTTTATCAGGTAGGGTAGAGAACTTTGGCTCCTCTTTCTGTACTTCTTCTGAATTTAATCAAGTATTTACCTTCATGATGAAATGTATGAGCTGCAAATTATTTCTCATTTAATTATAATGAGTTCCTGCTTCACTGTAGCACTAAACTGACAAACCAGTTTTCTGTTGTGTATCGTGTGTAACTGTTTATATTTGATCAAGGAGAGGAGACTTGTGCCTCTTCTTTTTACACTGTTTTGCAACTTCCAAGTTCCAATCCTTCATGATGAAACAAATAAGCTGCAAATGTAGAAACAATGTATATGTCCATTGCAGGGAAGCTGTGAACTCTTGTTTCATTAAACAGAAGCCCCAAACTAGGTTGCATTTCTCACTCATACATTTTGGTTTAATCTCAGGGTTAACAACTGAATCCAGTTCATCCAAAAGAACTCTCATAGAAGATCCAAAATTGGATCTTTTAATATTTTCATGTTAATAGAAATCAGAGCGATGCAATTTTTATACCCATAAATTAGGAAATGCACATTTTATGTAAACTTTCTTCCTATCTTGTTCTGGGTTGGTGGATGTGTTTTCCTAATCCTTTTTGTCTTTCTTGACAATGCATAAGTGGCCTAAGGTGGAATTCTGAATTGTGTCCGTAGTGCCCATAGTAGTAACATGTGCAAGTGGTTCCCTTGTACAAGGAATCATTCCTCCCGTTGCCCCTGTTAGTGTTAAAAAGAAATTGTCTCTGGCACCAATAGTGATGGCTGCTGGAGGCAATGTTGTTTATTCTCTCCTTTCCCATTAAAGGGAAATCACTCTGCTATGTCCCCATCTAGCAATACACTTGTTTTTGTTTTGCTTTTTTAAAAAAGTGCTACAATAGTTATTATAAATGATAATAATTCCCTTCCTTTCCACAAGCTAATCATATTTTTGATGACAGCTCTGGAATGCTGAAATGCTAAATTAGCTGGCGTTAAGCCCTATCCACCCAATATGATGCTGAAGCAAAATATGGTATTTTCCTTTTTGCAGCAGGAGATTCTGATGGAATGGGGATGTGTGAAAAACTCCAACCAATAAAGATCCTTGCTGTTGCACTCCTGCTGGTGTGCCCTAAGCACAGGATGCTCATTAAACCTAAAGAGAGCTCCTATCTTTTCAGCAGGCACAACACAGAGGGAATTAGCATACTTAATTAAGGCTCTTGATGAATGGCACTGTAAAGTTTCTTAATTAACCAATGTCTCCTAGGGGGGAGATGGTCTTAAACCAAGGTTGGGTTAAAATATTTTCCTTTTTGTGCATTTAATTAGCATAATCAGGAGTGCTGTTTTCTTGTCATGTGTAGAAAGGTAGATTTTCTGAGAGATGCTTTACATGTGGGAGCATGTCAAGAGAAGGACAGATCAGACACCATCCTGTATGAGTTTTGTCATTGTGTCTTCTCTTGGATTAGCATAGGAAGCCAAGAAGCTGCAGACTGCAGAAAGATAATTAATTGCACAGTCAGAAACAGGTCACTCACCTACCTTAAACTAAAGCAAGTGCTAGAAACCTTGAAACTGTGATGAAAGCAACTTTATCAGATGGAATGAGAATGGTTAGAAGTAATGCAGAAGAAGTTTCTGGCACAGTAGTAACATCAGCCTTGATAATAAATTAACATGTATTTGTGGGATGGAAATGGTACCCTCTTTTTCCCACTCTAGCCATCCCAGCCCATCTATTGGTTGGCTGGAAGAAAAGTACACTGATTATGTTACCTAGTTGGGTAATGAAATGTCTGCAAGCAAACAACCAAGCTCAGAAAGCACCAAGGACTCCACAGAAAAGTCTAAGTAATGTCCTGCTAATTTACTGAACAAAGAATGGAAGATTAGGGCCAATTTCTTCAACTTTTTTTTCCCCTCAGATCTCTGATGGGACAGAGGATTTGTTTATTTATTTATTTATAAAATGTGTATACTTCAGTCTGGATGTCTCTAATGGTAGACCCTAGAGCAGAGGGACAAAATACCATATATTACTGCCGGATATTTTAATTAAACAATTCATTAAACATGATACATGTATTTTCCTACATTTGAGAT